TCCACAAGGAAAATTACTTGGACACAGTACAGCTCACCTCACAATATATTAAAATAAACATAGGAAACATATGGTAATAGTAAAGCAAGATATAAATTTTATGGGGAATATTTATAAAGTTAGATAAGAAAACCACATGATTCTGATCCCTGGGCCTCTTTTTCGTCCTTTCCGCCTCTGTATATACTGTAGGCCCACACTCTTATGCTGTTCCCATGGAAACACTTTAAACTTTGCATGGGAAGGCCTTCGTCCTGCTTCCTCTAAGCTTCTTCACGTGCATTAACATTAAAATACTTACAAAAAAATCACAAACACTACCACTAAAATTGTAGCAGTTATGTTCATTTTAATACTATTTTATCATCATAGTTACAGTGGATAGAAATAAGCGAGTGACTCAGGTGGTGGGACGATGCATTATAACTGCAGGAGGTGAGCCAGCGCATGTGGAGTTGTACATTATCTAGTGGAAAGAGCAGGAGCAGACAGTATCTCTGTTTGAATCTTGGCCATGTCACTCTGCTGTCTCACCTGTGGCCTTTGGTCCAGTATATACTCATCACATTATGTGGTATAGCTGTACCTCCACTACAGCCCATCCAGCAGTTAGTGTCAAGAGCTCACATTTCCTTCCTGTTAACAACTCCTGACCTACCGGGGTCACGGCACCATTGTGTGCAGCAGTGTTGTGCGTTCACACTTTTCATGAACTAGTTCAAAGTTCAGTTCACATTTGTTCAGTGAACAGTTCACGTTCATAGTTCACAATTTTAATTTTGAACTAGTTCAAAGTTCAGTTCATTTTATATTTAGATGAGATCTGTAAATGAAAGGCTGCATTTATTTTTCAAACTGACTTCTAGTTTACAACAACTTTACAAGATACACTGTTGAACAAGTGATTTTAAAACTGTAATGTGTTATTTATGACTTGTTACTGTCATTTCAAAGTCATTTGTTACATTACAATATTACTGTATTTAAAATGTAAAACATTACACGACTATTGCAGCACTTTTAATTTACTCTCACCAAAAGAACTGTTAAGATGCTGAACTTTTGCGCCGTATATGGACTGAACCAGGACTGAACCAGACTAAACCAGGACTAAACCAGGTCTAAACCAGTCTAAACCAGAACTGAACCAGGTCTAAACCAGACTGAACCAGGTCCAAACCAGGACTAAACCAGGTCTAAACCAGGAAAGCAACCAGAAAGAACCAGGACTAAATCAGAACTGAACCAGGTATAAACCAGGAATAAACCAGGAATAAACCAGGACTGAACCAAGACTGAACCAGGACTAAACCAGAACTGAACCAGGACTAAACCAGGACTAAACCAAGACTAAACCAGGACTAAACCAGGACCAAACCAGGACTAATCCTGGACTAGAACTTGGAATCTAGGACCGCCCCTGAGAGAACCCCGAGTGCGATCGGGCGTCAGCTGCGTTTATCTCGGTGGAGCGCGGACTTCTGCGTCGGTCCTTTCGCTCAGGATCACGGTCTACGCGGGCGAACCTCCGGCGTTTCACCGCTGCTGATATCACGGTGATTTTAGCAAATTTGTATGAAGAAAAACGAAAAACCCACCATTTCAATCCAGGTTAAAAAAAGCATTGTGACGCGCGTTACTGACATATGTACCAAGTAACATAATACGCGCGCGGAGCAGCACGTCCTGTGCGTGTAGATTTCAGAAAATAGGATCCATCCTATTTTTTGACGCTCTACACGAGCGTAGGCGCGTATCCCCGTCAAAATACACAGAGAGCATGTATCTATTGTTGTATTTGTGCATTTACCATCAGCACATTGTGCTCCCTGGGCAGTTGTGTATCATGTGAAAGAGCCCAGATCCACACAGACTGTTAATTAGTGCTTTGAAATTTACTTTTGAAATCCTTGCGTTTGCCGTGGTCAGCCTGTACAGAAGGTAAATACAAGCAGCTAAACGCGCCCAGTCAAGTTTGATTGACTTCCCATTGAGAGACACAAGAGCCCGTATGTTCCGCTAAAGCTGCCGGTGGAGTCGCCTTCGCGCGTTGACACGCGGCTGTGGTTTCACGAGGTGAAGTGCGAGCAGATCGTCACTCGTCAAATTCCGACGTTTAACTGAACCCCAACAGTGACGTACGTCGTTCATCACACATAATTTGAACAAATTCACGTTCAAGTTCTTGATTTACAAAAGTGTTGCGTTCAGTTCAAAGTTCACTTAAAAATGAACGTGTTCAATGAACGCGTTCTTTTGAACTCGTTCATGCACAACACTGGTGTGCAGGTGGCGCCTGTTACCTGCAGGCTTCTCCCACCTGTACAGTTCAGCATCATTCACTATGAAGAATCAAGTGGCTGCCTTTTTTAACTTGTATGATGAAAAAGTTCTCAACAGTGATCCCAGACAATTTAGAAGCAAGAAAGTGCAAGAAAGGAAATTCCAAGTTGCCTTTACATTCTTTTAAGATGCATGTGCAGTTTTCTTATTCCTACTTCTGTTGCTCAGCATGTCTCTTGTGTAAAGGCTACCCTCTCGCTCTGACTTTTACATTTTTATGTAACTGCTCGTGTGGGTGCAAAAGAAACAAAAGTCATGGTGCACACTCCAAATCAAGGCTCCATCTCTGACTGCATCTGCTATGTGTGCCAGTGACTTCAGGTAATACCCAGGTTGAATTGTAGTGGTGAGGATGAGGAGACTGTTAATTGTCAGCTTCTACATATAATCATGAACACATAGACCTTATGTGAAGGCCTTTTCTGTGAAAGATGGGTTGCTCTACACTGTATTTTGGTGCATCTAGTGGGCGGTTTGACAGTGAGGTGGTGGTTAATTTTAATCCGGTAAGTGTAGAGAATGGAGCTACATGCTATTTAAAGGGAAATACTCAGTTCATGTGTGTCTGTTTGACATCTCTAAAATTTTCCATTCAACTCAATATATCATGGTAAAACAAAAATCCCAAAGAAATTAACTCACAAGCTGCTTAGAGTCACGCACAAGATAAATGGAGTAGATGAGAAAAAGTGGCTACGCAGAACTGAAATGCTCCCTCTGCAGTAAGGAAGACTGACAGCGGCACTGTTGGTTTCATGCACACTTAGTTGTAGTTACCTTCTGCTCTCAGCCATGCAGTCATAAAGATCATAGTGGTTATTACACATATTTACACAGCAAAGACTTTCTGGAGTTAATACAAGCCAGAGAAGTGAATATTTTGAGCTCTTAGTGCATTGTTTTTGCATATGTATGTGATCTCCTCTAACAAGACATTGCCTTGAATTAAAAATATAACAGAAAAAGCTATTTGTTTTTGAAAATGAAATAATGCTAAATCTTTAGAGTTAACAAAGCACCTGTGTGGGTGTTTTTCTTACGTGTCTTATTCCTCTATCAACTGTGTAATACTTTTATTTGTTTTTTTTTTGAGAGTGGACCCCAGGAAGAGTAGTTATTGCATTTTCAGAGATCAATGAGTATCCTTAAATAAACAGATAAACAAAAGCCTAATTATTATTATAGTTTACTTGGTCAGGACAATGTAAATTATAGTGTACATAGATTATAACATGCTGTGGATTGTAGCCATGAGCTAGTTTCCATATATTTGCTGTAACTAATGCGCTCTCATTCATACACACTGGAAGCAAGGAGAGTGAAGTGTCTTGCTTAATATGTACTAGAGCAGGGGTCTCCAACCTGTAGTTCGGGAGCTACCCATAGCTCTCCACCCCTTTCCAAGTAGCTCGCCAATAGGGGTGTCCAAAAATATTGATATATTGATCGATATTGGGGACTGCTGTATCGATATATCTCAAGAGTATTTTTTGGTCTATTTTACTCAATTATTTTATTACAGAGCTAAAGTTTTGTTGCTTGTTTAGATGAAGGTAACTCATTTATGCAACACATCTGACATTTTCACTTTTTGCTTTGAGGATTAAAATGTTTGTGTTTCTTATTAACTTTGTACAAGATGTGGTTTAACAAAGACTTTTAGTATCACAGCCATGATTTAGCCATTATTTTTTATTAAACTGTATCAAATCAATTTGAAATATATCCTATCAAACCGAAAGTGCACTGTATCGAAATATGTACTGTATCGCGGCCTATGTATCGAGGTATGTATTGTATCAGCAACTTACATGACTATTACCACTGGTTCATAAATCTGTGCACTAATAAATGGATAATGGTTTATGTTTAATAGGCATTTAACTGTACCCCAACTAAGGCTTCCCCCCCTTCTTATATCATTTTCTTGCGGCTGGTAAAATGAGTGGCTCTCTGGTGTTTTCATTTTGTAAAAGTAGCTCACCGGAGAAAAAAGGTTGGAGACCCTGCACTAGAGCCACTGCTGCCTCACACCTGGTATTCCCAGTGGTCACCAATCCTGTACTAACCAGGCCCAACCTCTTCAGCTTCAGAGATCAGATGAGACCTCAAGGTGGTATGGCTGACTGTTGTTTATAGTTTTAATTGCTTCAGTGTTTATGGTGATCATTTACAGCTGGTTTGATTTTTTATGTTTTCATAATACTAGTCTCATTTTGATCTGCCTTCATAGCTGTGGTTCAGCACTCCCCTGGTTCATGTGGGTTGATTTACAAAGCTGAGGTCAGGCGTCACTCGATCCTGCCGTAATGTCACTCAGGTGCTCTTCAAGGTCAGGCCCTGCACTTCTGGCCCTGCCTCTCTGGATTGTCTCAGGGAAAAAGATCCACTCCTGCTCTGTTTGCAGACCCATGTCACTGCCTATACACCTGACACGAGCAGTCTCTCTTAATTACTCCTGTCTTAATCACTAAAGACTGCTGCTACTGCTGTAAAGAATAGCATGATTTGCATATGGCCTCAATTCTAACATAAATCCATCCAATAAATATTTCTACAAACTACACAGCAAGGCACTTTCAATATCAGTAAACACACAAAGCCACAAAAACTGGATTTTATTTTTTTATTTTATTTGGTAATTTGTCATTTGGGGCGTGCATATATAGTTATCAGTCTACATAAATGAAAAGGGAAAGGCGATGACATTGTTGATGTTTGAGGACCTGAGAGACTTACATTACATGACGGGGAATAAGAAGAATATTGTTTCTAGTCAGATGGAATATGATTCACTACACCTACAAAGCCCTTAGAGCAGCGGATGGGAGAGATTCTGAATGGTTTATGACAAGACCATGGCCTGGAACTCTGTGGAAAAGGGAGAATGTATAGTTAGCACAGCAAACATCCAGATATATGCATCTCTTAATAAAATAATGATGTCACACATTATTCAAGCAGTATAGGCAAATATTACACATCTGCTATATAATATTTAATTTCTTCACCATCTGCTCCAATTCGTCCATCACTGTCATCATCAGCAGCGCAGAGGAAGGCTCTAGTCTCTGAGTCTGTGAGGGCGCGAGCACCGGGGCAGAACCGCTGCAGAAAGAACCTGGACACAAACAACACACAATTACAGGTTAGTGATAGACACCAGGGCAATAGTGGTTATCACTGAACAACAGCGTAAGCAACAGTCTCTTTTAGGATTCAGCTTAATCAACTAGACTCCAAATTCACACCGCCGTATGTTTCAAGAAAGATATTACCAGTAAAGGTTTGTTTAATTTTTCTAGTCAACCTGAATGTTGATGAAAAGCACATTAAGTCTTATAATACAGGGTAGCAAAGTCCAGAGTTCAGAAAAACTCACTTGAGCTCATCCTCCTCAATAAAGCCACTGTTGTCATTGTCGATGATGGCGAAGACTTTCTTCACCTCAGCTGCACTCTTCTTGGAGAGGCCACACAGCTGGAAGAACTTCTTGGGGCAGAAGGAGTCTGGTGCTAGAAAAACATGAAGAAATGATTGTTGGTGTGTGAATGCCTAAATGTTCAAGTGGGGATCATGTTTGTCACCAAAATGTATACATAAAATGAGGGTAAATGCTGGATTAAACACTGACAATAATTGTACTATAAGCTTGTTCATATTCTTAACAAGAATATGACACTACAGCATCATTCAGGATCACAACCTCATTGGTGTACTATGCATAACAATGAGTAGAAGTATAAAGAAATGTCAGTTTATGTTAGAGTGTGCAATAAGAACTTAGTGTGTGTTCTATTTGTGGAAGTTGATACCTTGGCAGTCCTTGATAGCACTGTCAATGGCATCAGCAGAGAGGACAGATGTGAGAGACATTTTCCTGTAAAAAAGCATCAAAGGCAGTGCATCAGTGTATACATAGAAAATACAGCAGCAAACTACAGCCTCGATGAGGAAAATCGACATGCGTAAAAGGGGCACTGGCCCTTTAAGAAGTTTTAGCGATTAAATTGATGCACCGCACTCCAAGACCAAGTTGCTTCAAAATGATTTAAATTCATCGTGTTAGAAGATCTTCCAAAAGGTGCAGAATATCTTCTTAATAAGCTTTCACCACTTTTAAGCACGGTTTTTGGTTGATTTTAACTTCACGGTGGCTCAAAAACTTCTACAAAAATGCGCCAAAAATCACTAGAAACATCAAGAGTTCCACGCATCCCTGCACCTCGGTCCACGCCGCCGCCCGCCACTTACCGTGTGGAGAGTGTTCTCGTCCGGCTGGAGAAGTGATGCAGCAGAGAGTGGTAAGGCTATGTGGTGACTGCTGTCCGTCAACGTGGGATTTATATAGGTCTGATTACAGTGACAATGGAGATCGCTTGAGTTACCTGTCTGTGGATCAAATTCTAAAAAGCCCGCCCCTGATCCAATTTCTCTGCTAACTAATTAACCTTTACTATTTATAACGATCCTAGGAACTCACACACACCCTGGACATCTGTAAAGCCCTGGTAACTAACAAATTAAGTAAAAAAACGCATAGTCCTCTGCCTCCTTATTCTTCTTCCACGCTCCCTTCTGTCAACTCTGCTCCCCTCCTACTACCACCTCCAACATCATGAAGTAGCCTAAATGCAGGAAGTTCCACTGCAGTCTTCATCTCTCTCTATCTCTCATTTTTTTTACATCCCCTGTTGTATAACTGAAGATTGTAAAATGGATATCTCTATTTTGAAAAATGTAAAAAACAAGTATTTTTTTTTCTTTTTCGTACCATATTATTGAAATATTATAAATAAAAATAAGTTCTAGTTGATTTTTTCAAGAAGGGATGGAGTCTTATTTTGACTGAATTAAATACATTTGGCCATTGCTTTTCAAAGAGTAAAATGCAAGCCTCCAATGACTTTTAATAAAGCACTTATTTTAATCCAATAGTGTGGAAAATTCCATGGGGACAAGAAGATGGCAGACCTTCCACCAGAAAAGGTACATAGTACACATTTAAAAGATGATGTCAGATACTTCCTGGTGTTTGCCTCACTAAACTGCTTGTCAACTGTTTTGTCACTGAAAGCAATGATGGTGCATAACATGTACTTTTGGCTTTAATAATATCTAAATTATATGAATAAACTGTATGGATAATGGGGATAACTGCATGTTTTTTCCAGTTGCACAATGAGCCAGAGTGGAGGACATGTGTAGCCCCCAGCAGCTCAGACGCACCAGCAAAACAGAGGGGTCATTAAACACAGTCCTGTGAGAGTGGACGCTGCAGAAACAGAAGGTTGTGGATATAAGGTGAGTTGAAGGTTTGTAAATGCAGCGATGTAAATGGATAGGTCATTGCAGTCATTATGAAGTATACATTAATTATATTAAACTCTTTAATGTTGTTTACAAGAGGAAAACCAGGTCCCACCGAGATTTGAACTCGGATCGCTGGATTCAGAGTCCAGAGTGCTAACCATTACACCATGGAACCACATATCATTCCTCTATGTATCGCCTTCAGTTGTCACCAAAGTAGGTCCTGAAAGTTGATCTGGGGGATATCCTAGACTACGTCCACAGGAGGGACAGGAACATAGACGGACCACCTTTTTTAAAGGCAATATTGTCTTGTCACATGTAAACACATGTAGGGAAATTTAAAATAAAGTAATGTTTTTGGAATAATATAAAATTTTTGCAACAACAGAAGTTAGAAACAATATAATAATAACATAAAATCAAAACCAGTCCCAGGTTATTTAGAGACACTATTAATGAAATTGTTTGGTTTGATAAGAAACACATTTTTGACCAGAAAACATTTGAGCATGTGATTCATTTGTGATTCATAAGGACACTTTATACATTAGCAGCAAACATATCCATAGCACAGTTAGTGTTTTACAAATAATATTGTATTGTCTCTGTAACACTATTGTGATATTACATTATATTGCAAAGGAAACAATAATTTTCTTACACAGTATTGCTGTACTCTAAACTGTCTATTTGGGTAATGTCTTTTTATTTACTTTTTGATAACTTGCATTTGTATGCTGGTAGAGGTGAGAGTTTAAAGTGTGAAATAGTCTCATGACATTTTTTCAGTTGTGGGTTTGGGTAAAACAAAGTCACTGACCATTGAGCAGAAGCCCATCCTTACAGTTCTCCTGCATGTGTCCTGACACCTTGCACACCTATAGTGTTACTGAGTGATCATTTATTCATTTACATTTGCTAATGTCCTGTGAGTTCCAGCCTGGATGTATAGACCGGAAGACAACCATTCTGCGTGGTGTTGTAACTTCATTTAAGTAAAGGTGATGTTACACAGTTGACAAGGCCTGCTGAAAAGCATGGGGAAACTTAAACCATCTGACTAGTATCATCTGCATTTTTGAATGGGAGAATTTTATTTTATTTAAGTAAAACTAAACAAGAGAAATTTTAAAGTCTACTAATAACTGCAGTTTCTGTTTCTACTTTAACTATCCTCTACAGTTATTACTATCATTACTGCAAGAACTATTAATTATAACTCAAAACAATGAAATCAGTTGTTGTTTATCCAAAATGTATGCATATTGTTAAAATATACTATGTACATTTAACAGTAATATTCTGGACACATATCCATTTAACATATTGTAGGTTATTTAAAAATCTACCTTCTCCGCGTGGTGTTATGTGGAAAGCTGCTGTCAATAACTGATTGAACCTAATGAACCTGTATTGTCTGTATCTGTCTTACGCAGAGTTGATATGGCACCATCTAGTGGCAGATCTCTGTTGTCGTTCTTCTCCTCGCGTCCTAACTTGAATTTATCGGGTAAGTTTACTTCAGTGTTTTTTTTAGTTTTTTTTTTTTTTTTACCCTGAACTTTTTTGTCAGAACAAGTTAAAAGTGCTGTATAGACAGTGTATGGATATATTATTGTATTACATTCTATTGACAATTGAGAAAAATAAAAACTGAAACTTAAACAATTGCAAATATTTATATATGTGTATCGGGAGTCTGAGCTCAAGGCTGTTTTGTTCATAGTATTCCCTAAATATTTTTTTAGAAATAATCTTTGTAAACACAAACAATGAGTCTCATAAAAAGATAATAAATTGAACAAATATAGTTATTATTATGCATTATTGCTGTATATTGTATTATACATTTTCATGGAAATTTTTAATGTAAATGAAAAAAGATTCTGGACCGTAGCAAAAGAATATTTATTCTTTTTACTGTTCTTTCCTGGAAAGTGCATCATAAATTTTACAATAAGCAAAATTCATATTTAAGACATGAACACAACCGAACGACATTCACAATCATTTTTGGACAGTGTGTTGCATAGGAGGAATTGTCTCTCAAGCAAATGTATAAAAATTATTTATATAATCAGATGAAAAGGGGAGGTGGTTCCATTAGAGCAGATGTTGGTCGGTTGCCACTCTATGCCTTAACCAGGGCGGCGAACTCTGCAAAAGACACAGACAGACAGCACAGTTGGTCAATCTATTTTGTGACAATCATGTGGGGAATGTGTTTTACAGGATGCACACCATCAGCGCCGATCTTGCCATCTCCGTCGGTGTCACCGGCTGTGAGGAAAGTCTTGGTCTCACCGTCGGTCAGGGCGCGTGCACCTGACTTGAAGTTCTGCAGGAACAGTCTGAGACACACACAACACAAAACAGTCGTTAGTCATAATATGTTTATGTGCACATGTAAAGACAACAGTTATGTGAGCATTGTTTTCAAATGGAGGAGCATGAATCTTCTGTCAGGCACCTGAATGGCTTGCTATGAATAAGTGACCTTGGCCCATAAGGCATGCAAACTACACATTCTTTGGTTTCTTTAAGACACAGCTCGAACTTCACGGTTTTATATTGCAACACTAGACTGTGTGCTCTGGATTTAATGTATAAATACAAGTGGCTATTGGGCAAACTAACTAAAATATACTTTTTGTTATGACTTGAGGGACTGGTTGTTCCAGGTGTGTATATGTTTGACTGTCTTACTTCAACTCATCCTCCTCAATGAAGCCACTCTTGTCCTGGTCAATGATGGCGAAGGCCTTCTTGACATCATCTGCGGACTTGCCAGCCAGACCGCAAGTCTTGAAGAACTTCTTGTGGTCGAATGTGTCAGCGTCTACATAGCACATGGTGTAAAGTAAAATACTTTACACAAACACACGCTTATATTCACACCAATATACATTTACAGTAATAAAGTACACTAGTAATAATAGACAGTAATAATAAGTAATAATTTGTCCCACCTTTGCACCCATCCAGGGCTGCAGCAACGTCAGCATCATTCAGTACACCTGCGAAGGCCATTGTGATCTAAAAGACAAACAATAATAATATAAGCATGAGCATGAGCAAGAGTTTTAAAAAAGTAAACATTTAAACTAAATAGAATCAGCAATGCATTTTGAAAACTTGTCTTGAATTAAACAGGATTCAAAATCCAAAAGTAGTAACTCAAATTTTAAGATAACTTCCATCGGCTACTATGAAACATCAGTAGCTCTTGTAGTAGCGTAATCCTTATCTCCACGCATCCCCCATAAATCCTTTAGTTCAAATGTTTCCTCAAAAATGATGCAGCGGATGGCAAATGCATATCCCACTCTTTTCCTCTTTTTTCTTTTCCTTTCTTGTCTTTCACTCACCTCCTGTCTTCTGTTTGTAGGGTACGGATGACACGGACAAGACTCAAGTCGGCTGCAGTGATTTAGCCGCTGCTCCTGATGACCTTTTATAGTTTCCTCTCCATCCGAACACCGGGCACAAGACAACTGACACCGCGTGAAGAAGAAGGGGGTTGGCGAAAAAAGACCAGCTCTATTTTAAGTTTCACAAATGAAGACGCTTAAAAGGTGCGTTTGAAGAAGTCTGTGATATCCCCCCTCTGCCCTGCGCTAAGAATAGGCCTGGCCACTGCTGAGGAGGGTGAATTGGAAATGCACACACCATGTTCTAGAGGGTGGACACTGATCTCTGTGTAAGTGGCATTTATTGGTTGTTCTGTCTATTTTGTATTGACTAGTATTGTTTAGTTCAATGGTTAGGTTCCCTTTTATTTGCCAGGTCATTTGAAGTATTCGCCCTACCTGTATAGTAATGCAATTTTGGTTGGGGAAAATAAAAAGAAAAGTGAAACAAATTCTTTCTATTCTAACTATTGTATTTCCAAACTCCAAAATAAAATAAAAGTGTACATTCTTTTCTTCAAGACTTATCATTGACTTTCTGCTTGATTTCAGACTGAGGAAAAACAGTTTAAGCCAGAAGGTGGCAGCATTGCTACATAAGTTAAGTAGGAGACACTTGTTTTGCCCTCTAGTTTACAGTAACAAGACCACCATGTCATTTGATCATCTTTAAAATTGTGATATAGCTGAACTCTCATCCCCCATCTGAATTCTGGTATGAAGGACAAGCTGCCTTCATTCACATGGAGTTTTGTGAATGTCTCCAGCTCAAAAGTGGAGATAGAAGCAATCAAATAGATGATTTAAGAAGTCCTGAGTTCGCTAAAGATCTGCAACTCTGCACCAGATTCGTGCTGCTGCTGAGAGGACTTGCTGATGCAACAGTGACTGTGAATAGCCCTCCTGTTGCCACAGCACATCACCTAATTGACTACACAGCAGTTGGTAGGAGGAAAAAGCCCTTGGACCAGAGCAGCTCATTGCAGGATGTGTGACAGCTATCAGGTGAAAAGCTTGTTCGTGGGCTGAGTGAGTGAGTTAGTGAGCATTGCCCCCTCCATGTGGTGAGTGGTATCCTGGCTTTAGTCCAGTGGCCACTCCCCTGCCCCATTAACCAATTATTAAATCAATCTTTCAGTGCTTTTCACTGATTCACAAGAGCAATGAGATAAGGGAGCTGTTGGCCTTTTCCCCCACCAGCTGCATTGCCATCACTATAAAGCTAAACAGTGAACATTGTTCATGCATAAATGACTGCCTAGATCCAACTCACTTTACACCAAAAGAGTATTTATTCCTGGTTATTCACTCTTCCTCAAAAGTGCATTTGGTGTACAATTTGCACAAATCATTTTCAAAACATTAACACAGTAATATTTACATAGGCAGTAAATATGTGTTTGAATGTTGAGAAACAGTCCGCAGGCAACTCATAAATAAGGTATAAAAAATATTCTTTCAGCTGATGATACTGAGTCTTGCAAGGAGTTCGCAGTTCCATGAAAAGAAGTAGTTCTTGGTCAATGGAAATTTATGCCTTTACAAGGGCGGCAAACTCTGTAAAAAGTAGAATAAAATGTTTATTAGTGGGGGACAAAGCTCAATTGGAATGTAAAGTCATTAAGATGCCCTTATTGAAGCCATTCTTTGACCAAGAAGCTGTGAATTTGATCAATAAAAGTGTGAAATTCAAAATCAGAATTATCTGCATTTAAATATTTACTTTTTAACTACTATCTAAAGATTTTGATTCCATTAGAAATTATATATAATTGAAGGTTTTGGTCTGGCCAGTTAGTATGTTGATCCAATCGTGTGATGATCCTTAAAGTAAACTTACCATCAACTCCGATCTTGCCATCACCATCGCTGTCACCGGCGCTCAGGAAAGCCTTGGTCTCCTTGTCGGTGAGTGCTCTGGCACCAGCAGAGAAGTTCTGCAGGAACAGCCTAGAAACAAAACAAATTCTGTTACTCACAGCTGTATACAAAAATTTTAAGAATTTCAAGGCCATTCTAACAAATGTAAAGTTAAGGGAAATATTTCATTTTATGGCTAATTTCAGTAATATTTGCATTATGGGGCTTTTCTAGCCTTAGGATTAGTGTATTTTCTGTACTTACTTCAGTTCCTCCTCCTCAATGAAGCCACTGTTGTCCTGGTCAATGATGGCGAAAGCCTTCTTGACCTCATCAGCGGACTTGCCCGCCAGGCCGCATGCCTTGAAGAACTTCTTGTAGTCGAAGGAGTCAGCAGCTGCAATACAACATTTGTTTTATGACTTAGTTCAAACATGGGCGACTGGACAAGTTTCACACTGCACTACAGTGTTGATGTAATGTGAGAAGTGAGTCTGTCAGTTTGTGAAACACATTCCCAAAGTGAGAATTTGAGCCTCTGTGGATGCAGCTAATTAATATCAACTGATAGAAATAAACTGTTAGGAAATGCTTATGATATCAGTGTTGTGATCTCATGCGGTGTTAAGGAACAGAAAGTGTGCTTACCTGCGCAGCCATCAAGGGCGGCTTTGACTTCAGCATCGTTGAGGACACCAGCGAAGGCCATTTTTTATTCTGTCAAAAAACAACATCAAAAGTTAGTGCAAGTTAGATCAGAAAATAACATACAATTAAATTGTGTAATGTATATGCATTTGTCAAAAATACTATAACCGTAACTAAAAATGGTGAGTGAAACCATACCAATAGCCTACAATATTAAACGAATTAACTTTCTTTTAGTAGCAAAAAAAAAAAAACACAAAAAAAACAAAAAAACTTGAACCACTTGCTGTATGAAAATCAAAACATCCCAGGCAATGATTTAGTTAGGATGCATTTCAGCTAGTGATGAATTTAGAGGTATTAATTTAATCCCAACTGTTGATTCAGCTTCAGATCTAAACAGACGGTAGTTCCTCTGAAGAGCCTCGAAAAAGCAGCTCAGTAACGCAGTGATGCACATGCGTCCATCTGTATCATCCACTGCCGAACCTATCTACAGTAAAAGATCGCTTATGATCCAAAGTCGCTGCTCCTCTGAACTCTTGAGTTTTCAGTCGTGTGCTCCTTGTAGATGTTCCCTATGTTTCTCTCTGCCGTCCAAAGCTTGTTTCTTGCGCCTCAATCCCTTTCCTTGAGGCAGGGTAGAAGTGTGGCCTCCAGTCCCACTCACCTTTTGCACTGCGTTGAGGCGAGTGAAAACCAAGGCGGACTTGAGTGAATGCCAGGAGTCCTTAACCCTCTCGCTTATATATCCTTGAGCAACACCATTTACAGAGCTTTGAGTCTCAGTATCGGGTACCAAGATGCATGGGTTTCGAAAAAATGTGTCTAGTAGTCTAGGCCTATTTTTAGGTGAACAAATGAGGATGCTACCATGTGTGCGGAGGCCTATAGCTAGACGTGTGGAAACCCGAGCAGGCCCTCTGCTAACTGACTTCACTGGCACAAATGTGATTTATGACCAACATTTAAGATGCTCGATTTGAGTGGCAAATTTGTCACTGTATAATGTAGAAATGAAAACAGCAATGCGCACGCGGGACATTGACCCACATTGCAAGATTGCATGATAAACCTGCGTTTTTCATTAAGTCTGTCACGTGTCTGTGTAAATCAAATTAATATTTAGCCTAAATACATACATACATACAAATTTGAGAAACACTTTCTGTATTAAAACGTGTAGTAGTTACTGTTAAAGTTTATTTTTGCTGACAATGTGCTGGGATTTTCTTGCTGATTCTCTTTGAAATGTGGGGTCAGACCTCTGAGTTTCTATTTTTGTATAAAGGCAGGGTTTGAGCTGCAGTGGAACCCTGAGATGGTCACAGATGATAGACATGTGCTGCCTCTCCTGCCTGCTGTCCTGTGACGTTAACTAGTCTCTACCTAAAGCATGGCTACAGAATATTTCTCCTTATGGGTACACATAGGACAGTGTCTCAAGTTTCAAGTGGAGCTAGGGCCTTATAGTTTGTCCTTAAGAGGTAATGCAAACATGAATTTGCTTATTTGCAAGGCTGGACAGATGGACATAGTCTTTGCAACATAGGCACTTTGAGGGTTGAATTTTTTCCACGAGCCATTTTGGAAGGATATCTCTGGCTGTCTTTTCTGACTTATGTATATGGCAGTAATGGCAGGCGTGTATATGATCTCTTCATTGAGTTTTGGTCTCACACTTTATGACTTCCTTTAAATCATAATGAGTCATCAGAAACCCTGTCACAGCAGTTATATCACTCTTGTGGCCCTTGAGAGGGGTATCCTCATCTGCAGCTACAGTCTTTGCATTGTATTGAATTCCAACCTAAATAAGGTTACCCCATCTACAGTCATAATAGTTCATGTTAAATAACAGTTTTAGTTGTGTTCCCTTGAAGTTCAATAAATATATAACTTTCTATAAATATTTGTATTACTCATAATGTATATGAGTATATTTTTAATCACCTATTCACTATTTTTTTATGTGTTAGTAATCTTTCATGAGTTCAATACATGCTCTTCTTCCTGTTAGACAATCTGCCTCTGATACTCATCACTTGCTCTATAATGGTGTTAATACCTGTTAATATAGTCTACTACGTCTATATTTACAGTCTCTGGCTCTGATGCAATATGAAACATGGATGTATTTTTACCTCTAAAACATATGTTTTGGACACATCTGATCAAAAAAAAGATTACAACATTTTTTGTTTTTTCCTCATACATTTATTTTTTTCCATATTAGGGAAAATATTTGGGAAACTTACAATGACAAATGGTCCTGGACTAGCTGTCCATAATTAAACAGTGTCACATATTTTTATTGTATCACATTTATAGGGTAAGTGGAAAGGTAGGTACAACTCTTTCATGGTCTTTTGTCTTATTGCTTAATCATCTGGAAAGTTGAAAATGGGAATGATGTGGTCTTGTTATTTCAGGAGGTCACAGAACTCTGCAGAGAAAAGTTACGACCTGTGTTTATACAAGAACTTGGATCATCCACCAACAGTCGAGATTTTTGTATTCACCTTCCATGCCAATCTTCCCATCACCGTCCTTATCTCCGGCTTCCATCAGCGTCCGGGTCTCGGTCACAGTCAGCTCCCGTGCCTCTGGAGAGAAATTCTGCAGCAACAGTCTGGTGAGAAATTCAAACAACAGTTATGACTTTATCTTTAAACATATTTCATTTTCTGAGCTTTTTAATATGTCAGTAACAGGCATTCACCCTATACTTACATTTTCTGTCATTGACAGTGAAATGTCACCCCCATTCACACAGTGACCTCTACCCCAGGCGCTAAAACCGCACACACATTATCTTCAAAGCAGTAACTTACTTCAGCTCCTCTTCTTCTATGTATCCACTCTTGTCTTGGTCTAAGACTGTGAACACTTTCTGGCCAGCAGCGTGGTCTGAGCCAGTCAGGCCTATTTGCTCAAAGAATGTCTTGTAGTTGAAGGTGCCTGGAGCTATAAAGACACATAGATAGGATAGAAAAGAGAAGAGGCAGACAGATGCGGGTGTATAGTGAGCGGGTCAGTGCGTAAACCAGAATAGCAAAGGGGTATGAAAAGAGTTGTCACATGTACTCTTTCGCTCAGATGACTTTCATTCATCAGGCAATGACATTTGCTGATATGCCCCCTGTAGCACATCCCTGTCTTTTGCCATTATAACCCGTGTCATTATGCCTGTAAAGCAGCCAAAACACTCTGTGGGGTTGGAGTCGAGTGCAGATGTAACTGGTACATATAAATTATTAAGTGTTTTTGGACTAAAAGAAGGTTTTAGTTTGATAGCTCATTATAAACACTGGTTTCTGGGAGGTAACTGCTCTCTTGCCAGATGGCTGCTTGGTTACCAATGGGCACCATGTTCCCACAGTGGACAACATACCATGCAAGTTTTCCCTATGGGTATGACAGTGGAATTAATAGGCTCTCTCTGGCTTTATGAATGACTTTTGCATGTAAAATCACCTATAGCTCCTTTTGGATGTTCATTTGTGTGAGGGGTCTGTTGATTTACCTTGACAAGCCTGAACTGCAGCTTTGATGTCCTCTTGGCTTAGCGTCCCTGCAAATGCCATGATTCTCTGTGGCTGCCTGAGAGATGCCCAAGTAAACAAATAATGCAGCAATACAAAGTAACAAATTCAATAAATGGTCAGCTCCAAGGCAAAAAATAAGGTTCATAAAATGTTAGCAACAAAAATGTATTCTATTTCCAGGGGGAAATTAAGACAATATTCATGTGACAGTATAAAAAAACACACAGTAAACTATAACAAATGAGAATGCACAGTAAATGGAAACATAAGGAAATAAACTGAGATGGAAAGAACAAGTCTGATTCTCACCGTTCTTCTATGTTGACGTTTAAGCTCTTCAAAACCTGTGTATCCTTTGCCCGTTTTGGTTTGCCACCAACACTCGTCTGCTACTTTGTGATCCACAGAGCAAGAAGCAACCTGACGTATCTGTCCTCAAACCCAGAGAGATTTCCGCCGCTACAAAAGCCCGCTCCTCCCTCATCACTTAATCAAGGCAATATTATGCTCACTGGCCCATATTTTAAATGAGGTTACTTAAAGAGTAAAAAAAAAAAAAAAAAAAAGATATAGGCTACTAATTTTGTGAAAAGATAGGCTAAAACAAATTTTTTAATATTTACCTGTGAAAAATCTATCCTAATACACAAATAGACCTAATTGTAATTATATCTTATAATTTTTACTATGTCGATAGTTTTTTTTTCCATAATTGATTTGATAATATACATATAATAATAAATGATTCATGCATTATTACATTTAAACATGCAATTTAATAGTAAACTCTTAGAAGGGGCTATGAGACTACTACTTTAAGCCACAATTAGATAATGTATTATTTAATTGCATATTGACTTAGACTGCTCTAAATTATATGCTTATTTAATGAAATTGCTTGATCTGTAAAAAAAATGGTTTGGACTAGCCTAAACCTAGCTGTGACAAACTCTAAACAGAATATGTATGTTATATACGGATAATTCTATATATGTTGTGTAGCCTATACAGCACACTGTCCCTGGATGACATTCTGCCTGTCACAGTATAATTCACCTGTAATAAAAAGCCTATAGCCCACTGTCCGTCTGTTACACGCATATATTAAAAGGCTACATCACTCCAGCATGACCGACCTCACATGGGTGACAGGTGACTTTCTGTAATGATTAAAGGATATGATTTATATGCCTGATGATAAACCGTGAGTGCTCGAGCTGCTTGGATTGGTTCAGTGATGTGTCAATCTTTCACAGACGTACGCCTCATTCCTGATGTGACGTTGTCTGGGAACATGGCGCTGAGGATGAGAGGCGTTTCATGAAAGTCTTGATACTGGATATTTTTGTAAGATATCATCAATTAAATGCACGTATCCACCTTCACAATGATAGGTGACGAAGTGATGATTTACGGTCGATCTCTATGGACGACGTAACACTACACCTGACATCGGTGACTGCTGTCGTCAGCTAAAACTGTTAGCATTGAGAGCTAGGTCGTTAGCTCGTTTGTAGCCATAAGCTAAACGCTAAAGAGATGCTTGTCTTGTATGATACGCGGATATAATACGAAGATCAAATGAATAAAACACGGTATTTAGTCTCCAACCATCCGCCATCGGTTCTGGACGCGTTTGTTTTGTAGCTAACATTCAGTTAGCCTGGCTAAAAGGATGGGGGTCCGTACTGGATTTGCTCTGTTGCTGGTCTTCGGGATTTTCCTCACTGTGTCCAATGGGGCACCTCTTCACTATCACCACAAATCAGGTATGTTGACTGCTAACTGTATACCTAGCTACAGGTACTTAGCTCTATTATATAATGTTAGTTTGTGTGATTGACTGCTGGGATTGGTTTGCTAAGTCACTGTTGTTTAGTAGTGGTTTGTGCTCAGCGCTGTTGCTAACAAGCTAAAGATAACACGATTTATTACCTAGCGTTAGCTGTGTGTTGGCTGTGGGTAGCTCTGATCTATTTATGGACATGTTCTGATTTTCCGTGTGTGATGCCACGGTGTTTGTTGTGTATTCCAACGTTGATGATGATTCTTTAAATCAATATGTGCATTGTGTGAGAAATATTAACCATAATACTGTACACAAATAAGCCTATTCCATAAGGTTTAACATTCAGGCGCAGGCTTGTTCCTGTCATTGGCACTCCTCAAAGTTTATAGCATAATAAGGCATGTTGTCCTTCCCGCATGGAAAACATCTTCTGTTCCTATACATATTTGACATATAGTCATAATTTCAGATGCATTCGTAATGGTTGAAGACACCAGATCTTCTGCTTTAAGTCCCCAACATTCACCTAGTATGTTGTATGTGTATTATTATCAGCACTGGTATATCTTGATATTGCTTTGTTTGATTAATTGGTGTATTTTTTCTGGAAAGCAAATGTCACTATGTTTAATGAATGGAAGAAGTGAACCAAATGTGTTTTGCAAATCAGCAATGTGTAACTGTGAGACATACCAATCTTATCAACACCAGTCAATGATTAGCCACTGTGCTGTTTACTTTATCATAACGTTTTACAAAGCAGTTTTAGCAATATGCTTTTATGCCATGGCAACCTTTTTATTTGTCCCATTTTCTCCTTAATTTTTCAGTTGTGTCAGCAGTGAAAGTTTAAAATAATGTAACAAACAGTTTTACAATACAGACCAATTAAAAACAGAAAATGTAAATGATTTAACCATGGTAGCAACACCTTATTAACAATAGTAACTGTTACTTTGACCTTCAGCCCTGGATTTACTTGGTCACTGGTACAGTGAAACCTGTTTCCAATCAATTCATGGCTTTATGCTCTCACGCACCATTAGTATTAGAGAGTAATTTCTTTCATTATTTGATGCAGTGTAAGTACATCTGTGAAAATATCTTGAAAAGTTTATGATCCTATGGCATAATCATTTCTGGAAAACTTTCCTTACTGTAAATAACAGGACTTGCAACTTCCAATAAATACGGTAAATTAACATAAAAATATGTTTGTGAGTCGTACAAATAACTGAACTGTTATTGCAACAAGGCTAAGTATAAGAACATTATGGTTTGTGTGTGCTTTTAATGTTCCTTCTTCCTCCTTATGCAAAGTATTTTTTCAGTAAGAGTCCACAGACTGCGGACCATGTCGGTTTTTGGAGAGTAAAATCTATAAAAAAAATGTGTCACCTCCTGGTTGGAATGCTGGAATGGTTCCTACAATATGCAGTAGATCCAAAATAAGACCTGTCAGTTTTCAGCTATATTGAAAAAACACAAACAAACAAAAAATCTTTCAAAGAAGTGTGTCTAGACTTGAGTGATTAGTCAGACTAAACAAACATATAGACCATCAGACTGCGTTGGTCACCAAATTCATGGCAGGTACAGAAATGTTGTGCTTTTAGCTTGCCAAGCCAATATGGTAAATAAAAAATGTTTACCTTTCAAAACTGTTAAGTCAGAATTCAAATCAAATGGAATCGCTTCTAATTCAACAGTAGTAATTAATACAAACTTGAAATAACCAAAAAGAGGCATTTTATGTATTAATTTACCACCAAATACATTAATCCAATTTCCTGGACAAAGTATGTGCATCCCGTCCTTTATTGTCCCATTGTTGTCATTGTTGTTGATTTCTCTTGAATGAGAAACTGACTGCATTTGATGATCTTTGTATTTGAGTTGGCATTTTGACAGAATTTGTTGCAGTAGTATAATGTACCTGAGACTAGGAGCAGTGGGAGACTGACAGAGCACAGCAGGAGAAACATGTGCCAGAGCAGAATACAGAGCTGATTTCTCAAATGAAGGGAAGACAGATTAGACAGATTAAGTTTAATTCATTCATGCACCTGTGCCTTTGCATATTAGTTGTGTAAGTAAAGATTGCTATTGCTGCAGTAATAGCTGACAGCTCTGATGGTAGTTCTGCAGGGCACAACTGTACCTAATGTGCTTACCCTCAGTCTGTCAGAGACAAGACAGATGAGTTTCAACTCCACTGACATGTTAAACAAAAATATGGTATTTTTATAATCACTATTCTTGATGCTTCTAACTCATTCTTCACTCACTCAGTATGCCTGATTTGTAAAAACAAACATAAATCAACAATCCCCTCTTAAATCCAGTGACTGTGCTGTTTGATAGGTGGTGCCCCGGCTGACTCTCTGCCCGTGTCCCTCTGCCTGTCTCTGGTGGTGTCCCTGACGGTGCTCATTGCCTTGGCTGTGGTGTTGGTGAATTGTGTCACATGCTGCAAGGAAAATGAGATCAACTTTAAGGTGAGACATGATTACATTATAATTAGAGCTGGACAATATTATCCCTTCTACATATTCAATTTTTGCTTTATATTACTTCTCATAACATGTAAATATGACTATTAAGTGTAATAAACTTGGAGAAGACCTCAATCAAATGAGTCATGTTTATTTTTAGTTACCACAAAAGTTTCCTCAAGTCCTGGCTGACATCTCTCCAAACAATTTGCTGTTACTCTCACACTTGGCTGTAGACATACCATAAAGCTAATAATTGCGATCTGCAGGCAATGTGATCCCAGTTCATTTTGAATTTGATGATTGGCATAGCTCTATTTATAACTTCCTCTCTTGTCTTTTGCTGTCTTAGGAGTTTGAGGACCATTTTGACGATGAAATTGACTTCACCCCTCCGGCAGAGGATACCCCCTCTGTGCAGTCTCCAGCTGAGGTGTACACACTGGCAGTGTCCCCAGTGGCTCTGCCAGGACCCCCACATCTTCAGCCCCCCTCTCACATAACAGGTCAGGCCAAAAGCAAAACAAAACAAAAAAACTCAGTTTGTCCTCAGTTTGTAGTGAATGCAAACATCTCTTCATTTTCTTTAGCAAAGTAATAAATTATATAAGATACTGGTATGATCTGTTTGTATCCGTGAACTAACAAGAAAATGTGTTGAGTGTTGAAATTGTACCTTTGGTTTGCAGAAGCACCGACCGGAGCTCAAATTGCTCGACATAGCCTGAGTTACATCCAAGAAATTGGCAATGGCTGGTTTGGACAGGTTTGTGCCAACTAAATGTACAGATCGGCTGCTTTGCCTCTTTTTTCTAAAACAAAACTATTTTTGTTTTGTGTCTGATTAGGTCCTTCTTAGTGAAATCTACACTGACCCTGGGGGCACCAGAGTGGTGGTGAAAGAGTTAAAAGCTAATGCTGGCTCTAAGGAGCAGAATGAGTTTCTGCAGCTGGGAGACCCATACAGGTAAAACATGTTTGATATTGGTCAATCCATCTATGACTGAATATTATTCACTATTTCGGTGGTTCCAAAACTATTTACATACATCACATCCCCTTGTGAAAACTTCTGAATACCCCTTTCTCTTGAGGATTTGTGTGTGATCACACATCTTAAAAAATGATTTATTAATACCAATTCTTATTACATAGAGAACATTCTAAAATAACCTATTTGATATTTCCTTGTAATGCATGTATTTTAATAATAAAAAGACAC